CCCTGAGGATTACCTGGTTTCCCTGCCTGTTCACCTGGACCATCTCCCGTTCGCTGCAGCCCTAGTGTCGCTTTCGGACGCCTGCTACCATTTCCACCCACGGACTTTTTCCTCTGTCTGTTCTGCCGTCGGTGCCTTTTGCTCATTAAAAAGTCTGAGTTGCTCGCACCTGAATCCGCCTCGTTTTCACCGTGACAGTTCTTCCCAGACATCTTCAACGAGTAGGGGTTTGCCAAGAGGTCTAGAGATGTCACCTACATTTACGGCATTTGGCAGATGCCCTTATCCAGGGCGACTTACAATTATCTCATTTATACAACTGAGCAGTTGAGGGTTAAGGGCCCTGCTCAAGGGCCCAGCAGTGGCAGCATGGTGGTGCTGGGATTTGAACGCTCAACCTTCCGATCAGGAGTCCAACATCTTAACCACTGAGCTACCCCTGAGCTACCACTTCCCTTCACCTAATAACCAGAAAGTCAAACAACAGTAATACAGTTGTAACAGTCTTGGCAAACTGTTCCATTTTCTTTCATTGTAATACCACTCCCTACCTCAAGGGTGAAATAGGGAGTGTGTTGGAAGAAAAGTCTATTTTTTTTAAAAGGGGCAAGTAAGACTGTTTGGTGGAGGTGCTGGCATGGCTTTGAGTGTTTACTCGTCTCAGCTTTATGCTACTATAAACCCTATTATGAGGAGCTTCTTTGGTTCTACAGCTCATAGTAAGTTGTATATATTCTGTGATTTTTGTATTTGTTACTATTGTGAGTTGTATATTCTTATTTGTGTTTTGTATATTTGCTTAGGGGGTTCATTGTTAGCCTCATTAATCTAACAAGATGGACACTTCCTCTGGACTATGATTTGTATCCAACATCGATCACATTACTTCTTTATTGGACTATGCTTTATGGTTTGAAATACTTCATATTGGATTTCTACTCTACAAATTGATGAACTGTTGATCTCTTTCACAAACTATCTTGGACTGATGAGAAATTGACTTGGTTTCAAACTTATGGTTGGAATGAAATGCTCAATGTGATGTTTTGTTCTCTACTCTGCTCTCAGATGTATGGATCCCCCTTATTTATGTATGTATGTATGTATGTAACTAAAATAGATTTGTTACAGTGTTAATGCATAATAGAAAAAGTGCTTCCAGTAATACATTCTTCAATTCTACAAATCATTAAAATAATTAAAAATATAATTTTATTCTATTTATGTATTTTGCTGCCAATACCTGTAGCTCATTATTACTTTCACGGTTCTTGATCTAGGTCTTTCCTTGGCCTTTGAGGGTCAATGAGAAGTGGTTATTGGGAGATGCCAGTAACAGTGATTCCATTCTGAACAGACAGTTCATCATTGGGCAGGCCCTGAAAGTCCCACTCACCTATAGTGACATTGTCTACCAGCATACTGCTGACATTCAGGTTCTAAAAGAAGAAAATGGGGAAAAGGGTATATATTTTTTTATTTTGTATTGATCATTACCTCATATTTTTTATTACAAAACAGCAACAACGACAACAAAACCCGACTACAAATTTAAGTTATTTACCTGATTTACATACCTGACTATATGGAATATAGTTGATATTCATTTCTTTCTTCCATTGCTCTAGAAGATGACTGCGGTACTCCTGGTTGAAAGGACCAGAATAAGACAGGAACCCAGTAGCTAGTAGCACATTTTCCATTAGATGCTTTATTTGCCACTGGAACTCAGTACTGCTCTCTGTCCAGTGGATCTAACAAAGACAAAGATATGCATAAAAATAAAAACTTCATTCACAAATTCTTTTATGAGAGAAAACGCACATCCAACTGAAATAAAACTGTGCTGAAGAAAACAAATGCCTGAAATATTTTGACACAAGCACTGGTACCTAGAAATGAACAAGACCTAATATAAAGAATTTCACCTACATACAAACAAGCTACACTCACAGAACACTTTATTATGAGCACTATACCAATACTGGGTAGGGCCTCCCTTTGCTCTCAAAACAGCCTCAATTCTTAATGGCACTGATTCCACAAGATTTTGGAAAAATGCCTTTGGTCCATTTTGACATGTTTGCATCATGCATTTCCTGCAGATTTTCCAGGTGCACTTTCATGTTGCGAATCTCCCACTTTACCACATCCCAAAGGTGTTCTATTGGATTCAGCTCTGGTGACTGGGAAGGCCACTGAAGGCCACTGAACAATGAACTCATTGTCATGTTCATGAAATCAGTTTGATATGACTTGCTTTGTGACATGGTGCATTATTATGCTGGACGTAGCCATTAGAAGATGGGTAAATTGTGGCCATGAAGAGATGCACATGGTCAATAACAATACTCAAATAGGCTGACATTCAAGCAATGATTGATCAACGGACCCACAGTTTGCCAAGAAAACATCTCCCACACCAATACACCACCTCCACCAGCCTGGACTGTTGACCCAAGGCAGGTTGAGTCCATGGATTCATGCTGTTGGCACCAAATTCTGACCCTACCATCTGTGTGTCTCAGCAGAAATCGAGATTCTTCAGACCAGGTTGAGTCTTCCTCAAGACTGTTGAACAAGACGATCAGTGTAAATTGTTAATATTTTACATTTCTATTATTTGTTATTATTATTTTTAGAAATTGTTATTTTATTATTACTATTTTGTGATTATGGGGCAGTCGTGGCCTAATGATTAGAGTGTCAAACTTGTAACCTGAAGGTTGTGGGTTCGAGTCTCAGGTCTGGCAGGGGTTGTAGGTGGGGGGAGTGAATGACTAGCGCTCTCTTCCACCCTCAATACCACGACTGAGGTGAGACCCTTGAGCAAGGCACTGAATCCCCAGGTGCCACAGCAAAAAAATAAATAAAAGGCATCCATCTGGACCATCCAGTGTTAGTGGAAAATTAGTTTTCATGTATTTCTGAGCCCACTGTAAACATTTCTCTTTGTGAACTTTGGTTAGGGGTGGACGAAATGCAGCTTTATGCACAACTACCAACCTCTGCAGGATTGTGCATCCAGAGGTTCTTGGGACTCCAGAGACACAAGAAACTTCAAATACCTGTTTGCTGCTCAATAGTGGCGCTTTTTTTTTTATAGCTGCCCTTTTAATCCCATTAATTTATCTGACAGAAACTTTCTTTACTAAGCCTTTATCTGACCAAATTCTTCTGTGCTGTGAATCACTCACAAAACTTTTAACAGTTCGCTGATCTCTATTCAGTTTTCATGAAATATCAGTTGTTTTCATGTCTTTTACAAGATATTGCACTATTTCACACTTTCAGAAAGATCCTTCTTCCTCCCCATATTGCATGAGAACTTTGACTTGTTTAATAATGTGGAACAACCTCTTTAAGTAGGCTTCCTTTTAATTAAGATCACCTGGCAAACAATTTAACAAACCTGTCTGAGTTTTATACCAGTTATCTAAAAAGATATGAGAAATAAAACAAACACTTTGAAAAACTAAAACATAAATGTTTATTTTGCTGATATGTATACAGTTAGGTCCAGAAGTATTTGGACAATTTTCTTGGTGTTTTTGTGATTTTGCCGTTATACACCACCACAATGGATTTGGAAAAAAACATTCAAGATGTGATCGAAGTGTAGACTTTCAGCTTTATTTTAAGAGGCTCCACAAAAATATGGCATTTACCACTTAGAAATTACAGCCATTTTCAGCAAAGTACCTCCATTTTCAGGGGCTCAAAGGTATTTGGACAAAGTGACATAATTGTAAATATAACCATAATTTTATGAATTATGATTAATGAAAATCCTTTGCAGTCAATGACTGCCTGAAGTCTGGAGCCCATGTTCTCAAAACTCAAATTCTGAGTTTCCTCCCTGGAAATGCTTTGCCAGGCCTTCACTGCAGCCACCTTCAGTCTTCTCTTCAGTAAGTGAAAAGCAGCTCTACTGGGTTGAGCTCAGGCAACTGACTTGGCCATTGAAGAATATTCCATTTCTTTGTCTTCAAAAAGTTTTGAGTTGCTTTCGCAGTATGTTTAGGGTCATTATCCACCTGCACTGTGAAGCAACATCCTATCAGTTTTGTAGCATTTGGCTGAATGTGAGCAGAGAGAATAGCCCTGTACACCTCAGAATTCATCTTGCTACTTCTGTCAGCAGTCACATCATCAATAAACACCAGTGAGCCCGTTCCATTGGTAGCCATACATGCCCATGCCATAATACTGCCTCCACCATGTTTGACACATGATATGGTATACTTTGGCTCATGAGCTGTTCCTTTCTTTCACCATACTTTTCTCTTCCCATCATTCTGGTACAAGTTAATCTTGGTTTCATCAGTCCAAAGAATCTTATTCCAGAACATAGGAGGATTGTTTTAGATGTTTTCTGGCAAAGTCTAATCTGGCTTTCCTGTTCATGAATGTTACCAGTGGTTTGCACCTTGTTGTAAACCACACCTAAGGTTTTAGCTATCTCTCTTATAGATTTATGTTGTTTTTTCAGCCTAATGATGGCCTCCTTCACTTGCATTGAGATCTCCTTAGACTTCATATTGGTAGCTCCAGTCAAACTGCTACCAAATGCCAACTCAGTACCTGATATCAACTCCAGACCTTTTATCTGCTTCATTTGTCTTGAAGTAACGGGGCGGAATGGACCACAACTGGTCAATTAAATTCTTGTCAGTCAATTGTCCAAATACCTTTGAACCCCTGAAAATTGAGGTATTTTGCTGAAAATGGCTGTAATTCCTAAATGGTAAATGCCATATTTTTGTGGAACCTCTTAAAATAAAGTTGAAAGTCTACACTTTGATCACATCTTGATTGTTTTCTTTCAAATCCATTGTGGTGGTGTATCAAGGCACAATCACAAAAACTGTCATTGTCCAAATACTTCCGGACCTAACTGTATATGTGTAGGTGAATTTCCTCATTTTGATCTACACGGGATGCTTAAACATCAGTTTCTATAACCATTTGCCAACTTCTCACTGCTTTTTTATCTCTCCATCTCTCTCATCTTCTTCCTTTTTCCTTCTTCTTTTTTTTTTTTTTT